TGGCTTGATGTATGAAAAGACAAATTAGTCCTCCCTCCTATCTACCAGCAGGGTACAATGACCTGACATGGAAAAGTCAACTCAAACCGCTGTATAATATATTTACATTTTTTTTTCTAGGAAACTTCGGAGTTACCAAATCAGCTGTGTCTAGTGTGCAAATTACATGCCAGCTAGCAGATGTGAAATAAATTTGAGGATGGCCGTGTGGTTTGGCTTGACTATGCAGGATGCACTAGTGGCCACGGTTCATCCCGGAGGAATCTTTGGTAGCGTTGAGCGGGGAAAGCCAGAGAGAAAGGAGCTGAAACAAAATGCTGTTTCTGGATATGTCTGCTTCTTACTCATTGCTTATCTCCTGCACCTTGTATGTGCTCAGCTGTTCTCTAATACACTAAGCAATGTGAGAGAGGAATGTCTCTTTTAGGACACTCAGCCAGAGTAAAGGTGACTGAATGAGCAAGGATGGACACAGTGATGCTTACTCTTCCTTCTTGTGCTAGGAAAACAATTCAGAGTCCCATGGGTCTGTTTCTTGAGTTTAATAAACAGAACATGTTTGTTTTTTGGGTTTTTTTTACCACCGTATAAAGTAACTGAGTTTCCTATAAAATGAAGAGGTTCTCACATTTGCCTTATGATGCTATTTGCACTAATCAGAACACAATATTGGGGGGGGGAGGCTATACCTTTCCATTATGTAGGTCATAATTAAGGATTAAAGATAGAACCAATAATCAATATAAAATGAAATTTCTCTAAATTGCTACTGTTGGTGATTTGAAGGGATATTTAAGAAATAATTGTTATGAAACTATGTGAAAATTCAGATAATGAACTAACCAACTAACTACAGTTTTGTCATAGACTGGGGAAAAAAGCAATTGTGAAAGATGGCCATATTATCTTAAAGAGTTCCTTAAAACTACTCTTTCCCAGCATTTATACAGCCCTATCCTCAGTTAAACTCAGTTGGCTTCTATAGAAGAAGATATAGGTCTCAACACATATGGCAAACACTTATTGGGGATGAATATATTATGATGCTATATTGTAACTCATTTTACGGAGTAAATAATCTTATAATAATAATGCCATAAATAATATAAAAGAACCAACCTAAACTTGTCCAAATCAAGCACAGATAAAGCAAAAAATTTTTTTTCAGGCCTAGATAGCCATCTTTTGTTCCTTCAGCAAAAATTTGTGATAGACCTACTATGTACAAGACACTAGTCCTAGTTCTCAGTGGGCAAAAATTTGGAAGAGTTGGTAACTGGGGATTTGAGGGTAGCTAATTAACTATAGTCATCTGGGACCAGAGCTCTATTTATTTTTCCTACTTCAAGTTAACATGAAGTAATGTCTGCCCATCAAGTAAAAGATCCCCAGTCTTGGTTTTTTAGTCTATTTTGAGGCACAGAATTTAGTGGCAGGTGAGTCCTGAGTCTGTCTTACCTCGTCAGTCTTCATAAGAGAAAAAACAAATCAGACAAGAGTGTCATGAGGAAAGTGGTGAACTGAGTATTAGCCACTTGGGCTCACAGCCCTGCTTCTGCCCCTGAACACCTGGGTAAACTTGAACAAGCATTTAACTTCTCAGAACGTGTGAAGTTTTTACCTATTAAGAAAGAGAGTCTTAATGGATGGTTTTTAAGGTTTCTTCCAGCTCTAAAATCTAAATTAAGTGAAATGAGAACAGTATGAGAAATGTTGAAAATGATAGATAAATGTTGAGATGTGATGCTGATGCTGATGCTGCTGTTGGCGACTCAAGGTCCGTGTGTAAGTAGACCTAGTCTACCCCCATGTCTATTTTAGTTTAATACACCTGCTTTAGTGCCTTCTTTTGTCCCAAGAGTCCAATGGTAAAGCATCCTTCGCCCAGGGGATTACAGGCTGCCTGCCCCCAGCCTCCTCCCTCTGTGGTGCTCAGTGTTCTCTCCTGAACAAAGTGAAGCTGGAGGATAGAGGAACTCAGAGGTCTCTGCTCAGCCTTTCTGACTGCAAATGCACTACCCAAGAAGTGGTAGGTTGAGTCAAGCAGACTTTGAACCAAATATTGGCCTTTTCTGGTACTCAGGTTCCTCTTCTATAAAATCAGGATAATCAGACCAGTTCAAAAGACTGTTGTGAGGACTAATCAAAGAAAAGTATGCAAAGTACTTGTACAGAGTGGTAGGTAGCTGCTAATATTGTTGTAGTTGAGGCTTAAAGCATGTGTCACTTCTGCTGCACCCCTTGCAGATCAAAGTGATGCCCCAAAGTGACCACGGGAACCCTAAGAACTCCTCACCAAAGTTCCACAGGAACATACCTGCCTGTGTGTCATCCATGCTTATCCAGCAAGCAGCAGCAACAACAGCAGGCATTTTCTAGTGCTTATTTCTCACCAAGTGATTTCCTCTGCATGGTTTCATTGGATTTTCAAAATTAGGCTGTGAGGCAGGGAGAGCAAGTCTGGTTTTCATCCCAGCTCTCAGGCCACTGCCTTGCACCTGCCCATGGAGTGGCACTCCAGGGAGTGCCATCCACATAGAATGCAATGTGAGTGGAGCCCCTGCCGAAGTCCTGCAGAGCAGCAGTACTGCCGCTTTCAGAATAGGAAACTGAAGCCCAGAGAGGTTAAATGAATTATCCAAGGTCACACAGCAGAGGAGGGAAAGATTTTGATCTCCAAGTCAGGTTATGACTCCAAGTATTTTGTGCTTTCCCCTACACCATGCGACCTTGACTACAGTACATCCATGAAGTCTATGATAGGGTCAAATTCTCAGTGCCCACCTCTCTATCCAGTATCAGGCTTTGGGGTATCTTAGTGGAGGCGCCCATGAGGTCACTGGAGGAGAAAGTCCTCACTGTGCCATAGTGTGACATGGTACATGGTGACTCAGCCTTATTCTACATGTGGTGTACTCAGGACATGATTTGTGGAAGGGAAGTGCCTGCATGTCCAAGCAAATCAGGCTGAGGAGACAGCGGCCTCCTCCTCCTCTGTACCCTAAGACTGGCTCACATGAATATTCAAGAACAAGCACCCCTAAAAAATTATTACATCTCCCACCTGTGTTGTCATCTTATCATGATCTGTGGTCTGTGCCAAAAGGTACGTTGCCATATTAAAGAAACACTTGGAGTTTAGGAAAGTGACATGTTTATTAAAGTGCTACAATTGGACTCCCTGCAAAATGAGAGTGACTTCCTCATAGTCACTAATCCCCAAACAAAATAACCATCAAGAAATATTAAAACACACATTTTATTAGTTTCATTTAATTTCTTAATTGCTCAAAGTCAGTTTACCCATTTATTGCTGTGTGAAATGCTTAGAGGCAAGGCGCACATTAAAGGGATTATTTCCATGTAATCCCTCCCTCCCAGAGGGTAGGAACTGATCACTTATGAATCCTGATTTACGCTCTGTAACAATATCAAATGGAGGAAATTGGTATTGTAAAATGATAGAGTTGGTAGCTGGGTAATACAGGGGGAGAGTGTAATTTCATAGCGAAGAGAAAGTACCTCATTTTCAGTAGAAGTTATGAGAGCCTTTTTCGGGAATAGCTATTAACCAAACTGAATTTTGCCTCCCATTTTTCTGGCTATACCTCTGTTAATTGATAGATGTTGAAGATGTGTAGGCTGTTAAGATTTTAATCAAATGGCGTCTGGGAGTAGATGTGATCATCTTACCAGGACTCGGAGTTCTGGGGATAGTAATTGCTCTGGGTGTTACTCGCTCTGTGACAGCTCGCCTACCGCCAGCCTTCCTTCTGGAAGAGGCTGTGCAGGCACTCGGGTGGAATCTGGAGGGGTGCTGCAAATTACATAAGAAAGGGAGATGAGGTAGGAAGGGGGTCCAGGTAAATATCCACCAAGAAACTTGTGACGGTCTGAACTTCTGGCAATTTCCGTGGTACATGCTAGCTGGCCTGAGACCATTAAACTGCAGAGAACTGAGAACCCCATTAGTGACCCAGGAAAGAGCTTTTTCTTGTTCTATTCCTGACCCATCTCTCCCTGTCGTAGTACCTGTAACCCAACTACCTTGTTTTAGGAGCGTTGTTACTATCCTTGGAAGGAAGGAAGAGTTATGGCATCAAAAGAGTACAGAGATAAAGCCAGTCCTTACCAGAACTTCTGTCCCCTCGGACAGCACCCTACCCCAACAGGGGCCACGCCTGATGCATTGAAATGGGCAGTGCCTCCATTGCAGGCTGACCCTCTTCTGATACTTGAGATTTATTCTCTACCTTTAAAGTCAGCCTAATACAAAGAGTATACAAAATAAAACATTTTTTTAAAAGCCCTCAAGGAGAGTTGAACTATGTATTTTATTAGATTGAAGGCAAAACAAGCTGATACCAGCAGAAAAAAAAAAAAAAGGGCTGCTTCAGACCCCAGCTGACCTCTTTTGCATGGAAAATTCTCCATATGATTACAGAGCTAATGAGTAATATTTAATGAAAACATTATGCCTTTGCATATATTTGTAAGCAGTACTTCTTCCATTTAAATTTACATAGAAATAAGCTGATATGTATACATACCCATCTTGGAAATCTGTGTATTTTAAGGAAAATACTCATCCGCTATCTCTGGCTGTTTCTGTACAATGCCCAAACTTCTCAATAAGAAAACTGTAGAACTCAGTCAATCATCCAGTTGACACCAAACATGCAAGTATCTGATGATGCGTGGATAAAACAGCTGAAAGCCAGGCAGACTCATTCACATTTCACAGAATGTTTTGACTTTATGCAAACAACAGTGTATGAGAAAAAACTGGGGTAAACAATTGCTAAATAAATACATGTGAAAAAAAAAAATCATTCAACTTCAAGAACCCCTAAGCATTTGAGGATGAAGACAGAACCAGGATCGTTTCCGGGGCTGTGTATATTTTTTTTCTGCTCAGAACTTGAATCACAGTGGTGCTGAATTTGAAAAAGGAAAAGCCTGTGACACCTTTCTCTCCCACCCTTTCTCTTCTCCTCTAGGTGGAGCTGACAGGCAGCAGCGTCTTTGACTATGTCCACCCCGGGGACCACGTGGAGATGGCGGAGCAGCTGGGCATGAAGCTCCCGCCCGGGCGGGGGCTCCTCTCGCAGGGCACCGCTGAGGATGGAGCCAGCTCAGCATCTTCCTCCTCCCAGTCGGAGACGCCCGAGCCAGGTGGGAATTGCAATCCCAACGTGTGGGTTGGTGAGCAGGACCTTTGCCAATGATTGCACTCAAGTCGCCAGTGTGAAGAGACTATAAATAGGTTTAATTGTATTTAACAATGCCATGCAGCTTTCTGTCCTGTGCGGTAATTACATAAGGATGAGATTTGAAAATAAGGAGACGTTTTAATAAGTATAATCCAGACATCTAATTTCAGTTGAACAATACACATGGAAGGTACTAGTTCCTATAGTTTCCCTTTCAAATTACTGGAGGGAAAAGGTTCAGGTTTGGAAAGCCCTACCCCTTTCATTGTTACCATGACTAAATGTAATGCATTTATTTATTATTCAGCAAAATCTATGGACTTTTTGAATATTAGCTTGTGGAGAATTAAAAGTATTAGAGACTTGCAGAAATCTTGGTTTCTTTTTTTTTTTTTTTAAGCATCAGAAGGTACTTGAAAGATGTGAACAGATAAATTAAGGCTAAAAAGAAAACAGAAATGGCTACATTTTAAACTGCCTTTCCACCCTCAGTATTTAATTAGATCAATTGTATAGAGGAATGAACAGAGGTGACATTCCTCATTGGGATTCCTTCCAGGACTCTTATAGACTTTGCATTCAGAATGTTCCCATTTTCATTGTGTTGTACTGATGATAATTTAAGTATTAGGGGAAAATCCATTTATAAATTAAACAAAATGACTTGATATCCATCAGTCCCCTAGTTCATCAAGCTGTTCAAACACGGGGAAGATTGGCTGGTCGGCCTGGGTCTTCCGAGAGCGCTGGTAATTAGATCTGCGAAGGATTTATTCTGTGCTGATTGGGGCTTTAAATTAATTGAAGTTCCACATTTGTGGTTTTGTCCTTTTTGTACTTTTTTAGAGGAGATATTTCATATTCTTGTGTGGTGGAGTGCTTGGCCAAGCAGCAGTGGTTTAAATGTTAATTTTTCTCATGAGAAGTTTAAGATTTTTAATGAATCAAGGCCTGATTTGAAGTGCAAAGTTTTATTTGCTTACTTGGGAAATTATTTTTGCACTCTTTAAAGATGCTTGTACTTTACTTGATAATGTTGTTTTAAAACAGATTTGCAACACAAAAGCATTTTTTAGAAAGAAAACTGGAAAAAGCTATTTTAAGATTAATATTAAAATAACTCTACATACTTCCAAGAAAATACTTTAATTTGACCTGTTTAGAAATAAGCATGGTGTGTTTGCTCACACAGAAGGGAAAAAACATTCACTTCTTTTGGAGATATTTTAATTCCATCTAGAGCCAATCCATGTTTCCTCATTTAAGTTAACTGCAGCTTCTAGGCATTATTCTGTAGCATTGGTGAGCATCCATCTCCAGTGAGCCCCGTGCATGAGTAAAGAGAGTATTTCAGGCTACTCTTTACCATTTAAAAGTGAAAATAATTTCGTTCAGGGGAGGGGGGAGTCAAGTATTCTTATATAATATCTCACCGACTTTACTGAATAGATATGTCACTGAGATCACTGGAACTGCTTTTTAGGCACTAGAATGTTCATATCTGGTCATATTTGAGAAGCAGCACGTGAACATAGTTTTCTACTCTTTCATTCTGGAGTTGGATTGGGGAGCCTGGGTTGCTCATGTCTCTTAAACACTCAGTGTGTAAGAATTCAAGTTTATAAATTCTTACACACTGGAATTTGTAATTCCAGTGGAATTACCTGGAATTACCAGGTAATTAAGGCCTGGAAAAGTGAAATTTGTTTACCTGAATCACAGACTCTCAAGTTGAGAAGGATCTTCAACGATCCTGTAATCCAACCTCCAACCTATGCAGCCATCCCTCTACAGCAAAACCTACAGATAACCTTTCATTCTCTGCTGGAACCTGCCCCCGATAGGGAGCTCACCAGCTTTCAAGGCTGCCCACTCCACTGGTAAGCAGCTCTAATAGAAAGTTATTCCTAATGTGGAGCCAAAATCTACTTTGCTGCAACTTCTCCCCACTGATCCAAGATCTGTCCTCTGGAACCACATTTCAGATTTACTCCTTCCTCCCCATCATAGTCTCTCAAATATGTGAAGTCAGATATTCCAAATTCTCCCTTCCTCCTGCCTTCCTTCTCCTTTCCAGGTTGAAGAGCTCTAATTCCACAATGGTTGTTCAATGGCATGTTCCTAAGACCCTCACCACTCTAATCACCCTCCCACTGGCTGTCCTTCAGTTTGATGGTGACCCTCTAAAACTATGGTTCTGAGAACTGGGTGCAGCCCTCTAGATGTATTCTGACTAGTACAAAGCAGAGGGACTGTGAGCTTTCTCAGTTGAGGCTACCATTCTTCTGTTAATGCAGCGTAAGGTTGAATTTGGTCCTCTTGGTACCCAGACTACGCTGTTTGTTCATATTGAGCTTGATGTCTCCCCAAACACCTGTTAAGGATGACTTGTCACTTGGAAGAGACTTGGGGAGAAAAAAAATCCATGGCCTGTAAACCAGTTCTGCTAAGATATCCTAAGCTAGAATCAAAATCAAACTAGTTTAAGACTGAATATAAGAATTATGATAAATCCCAATAAGAATTATGACAAATCCCATGCCTTCTGTGAAGCACCAATATGCATGAAACAGCTCTAGGTACACTGTTAGAACTCAGTTCTCACTTAGCATCCTTTAATTCTGCATAGTAGGAGAATAACATATCTTCTTTAACTGTTACCATCCTTCTCTCCTTTAAAGTTACTCTGTCATTTAACAATGAAGTGTGATTGAAAATTTACTTGAGTTTCTTTCCCCTGTCTCCCAGCCTTCCTTGAGCCATCCTAACTAGTAAAATTAAAAACTCTTTCTACCGTCCTTAACAACTTGGGCTCATGAGTGACAGCTGCGTAAGAAGGGTTTCTCTTCCTTGATGGTGAGTGTATCTCGTACCACTGGAGAATGTTAAACTGTCTTTGCCCTAAGAGTCTGTAGTGTGGGTATTTTCAGTCTTCGGCTTAAAAAGACAATTAGATTGACTGCTCAAATACTGAAAAGCAGTGTGTAGGGTGCTACCTTTAACTAAATATCTTCACTAATGCAGATCATTACTCCAAGGGAATTACTTTACAAGTTCATGTCAGGCAGTACATCCCAAAGCTGCTTATGTTTCTTAAAAGCTGAAAGAATTTTAACAAGATTTCCTAATTCTTAATAACATGAAGGAACATTTTTGAAGACTGTTGTTCATTGCATCATAATCTTTTAAACTCTGATAAAAGACAGATTCTTTTTTAAATAGTAGTATAATTTGGTTGGAAAAGGGATATCAATATGAGGTGATTATGAAAATGAAGGGTCTAGTAGGTATGGAGTTTTTCAGAAGCACTGATGTGTTCAGTGTAGCATTACTAAGTGACTGCACTCTAAATAACATTTGGCATTACAATAAAAGGAAATAAGTGAGTCAACCAGCATAAGAGGCAGTGACACTGTGCCTTCATAGGAATTCTGTTTCTTTGAACTGCCAGCCCTGTGCCTGTCTTGTCTTGAACCAGTCTCGAGATAATGAGAAAAAAAAATCTGTTGACTGGACAGCAAATCCCCCCAAATATTTTATGTGTATGCACATTTATTAATAGTTCAGTAAATGTGATATTTCTTTTGGAAAAATCTCAAGGCAGGCATAAGAAAAATAAATGGGTGGCCTTGTTTAAAAAGTTCTCAAGTTCTAGAGCTCGTATTTAGGGGTTGATCCAAATGTTTGGGGAGAGATCGCTCTGTGCTGTCCTGCAGGTTTCTGCAGTGTGGGGAGCAGAGACCCTCCGGAACATGAGGTGTGGATGGTTCATTTTCTTTTTGTAATCCACTTGTATCTTTTTATTACTCTTAATGATTCTGTAATCTTGGGATTACGAGTGCTATCCTCTTTTTTTGAATAAATTTCAGTGTCACATCTTTTAAATGCTTAATAAACAGAAAAGCAGCTCTTTCAAGAAATCCTGGAGGAACTTGAAGAAATCTCCTATTTTGAAAACAAAGAGTAATATTCCTTAGGTTAGGTCATCAAACTGTTCTGTTTTACTTGCTCCTTCTTATTATTAAAACAGCTTGATTTTTTCCAATTATAAAATTCATGCTCATTGTGAAAGATTCAGAAAATGAAGAAAACAAAGAAGAAAGACTAACCAACATCCCACTACCCAAAAATAACCACTGTTCCTATGTATACAATAGATATCCTTCTAGATTTCATTTCTGTATACATGTATACGTATATAGGCATGTAGTGTGTTTTTTTGTTTGTTTGTTTGACTAAAATAAGACCATACCATACCTGCTTCTGGTACCCTGCTTTTTCACTTAACCTCACGGGCAACTTTCCCTGTTATGTTTCTCACTTTAACATAAAATTTCCTTTCTGTCTCTGGTGGTTTGTTTGCCACTAGCTAACAATCAGCTCCCAGCTGTAGGACCACTGTCAGGAGTAACATATGGTCCTACTTTGGAGAGAATTCAGCCAGGACAAGAGGGTCTTGCAGCGTGTTGAATGGGTGCGAGCTCATAGAGGGCGAAATCAATACTGCACCAGGATTTAGACAATTTAGCTAACTGTATGAGACAGTAGTTTTGGTGAAGAATAACTACAGCAGCATAATTAACCACTGGTTGTCAAAAATACAGGTTATTGTGTTTTGTCTGAAGTTTCAGGCAGATCGAGGCTGTTATGGGGGGTTACGATGATCATTCTAATCATATGATCTTTATGCTATTATGCCTAATCTGTGTCTTGAATATTTTAAAGGCAAGCAAAATGGAAGCATGGGAGTCCTTGCCTGTGTGGAAATAATCTGCATTTTTCTACTTACGCCTCTGTGCTGTGGTACATTTGATCAGCTCCTGATTCTACAGGAACTCAATTCCTCTGAATTTATTAGATGATTTTCATAATAAGTAATATAATTAGAGGAATAAACGTTTACGAATAACAATAAAGAATGTAAAAATTTACCTGAGGATCAGATCAATATTTTATCTCAAA